GTGGGGGGGGGGGGCGCAGGAGGGGAGGGACAGTGGCCAGGTGATCCTGGGCAAGTCACTGGATCTTCCAGCACCTCTGCTCCCTTATCTGCAAAAAGCGAGGAATAACATTTGCCTTTGCTGGTGCGTGGGTGTCACTAATCACAGATAACCAGCGTCTATGTTTAGGGGGAGAACCTTAAAGGACACGAGGTATGATTGGAGAAGCACAGGCTTGGGAGTAAATTGTAGCAACCATTTGGGCTCCTACTATTTGCAAAAGGCTCTGTCCGACAAAATCCTGCACTCACGGTGCGGCTGAGGGGGGAAAAAAAAGGCCGAAGCACAAAGAAAAAGTTTTTTAAAAATGTCTGTTTCAGTCTTAGGACTCACACACTGTTTCAACATCTCAGCTCACACTACTCCAACCCCAGCAGCCTAGTGGCACTACTTGGAGAGACCGGCAGGGCCACAGGTGGGAGACAGGTTTGCACTTGGCCATTAGCTACCTTCAAATCCTGTCGCAAAATCAAGATAACTCTCCTTTCTTTTCTTATATCCTAATTTTGCAGCGGATTGTCCTCCCCCGGCATTCCGTTATCTTCCAGGACCTGACAAGGAAGACAAGAGAGGGGAGAGGCCGTTAGGTGGTCCCGGGGTCCCTGCCAGCCGAGCCCCTCCAGCCCTGCTGCAGGCTCACCACCGTGGCCCCTGCGCTCCAGCCTTTGACTGTTACTTGTCTGCCTCCACCCAAGGCCTCCCTGCGGGCGAGGCCCAGTATCCTGGGGTTGGGGCCCAGTGCCAGGCTTGTCTGTTGAGTGAATGAGTGAACAAAGAGACAGGCGGGTGGCCGGCCTGGCTTTGGTCAGTCGGCACGGCAGGCGCTCGGGGCTGCAAGCATCGCTGCAGACCTTTTCCCTGGCCATGCCGTCCAGGTCTTCAGATTCACGCTTGCTGTGACAGCAGTGGCTTTCAAGGCTCATAAGTGAGATTTATATTCACATATATCCTAGGAAACATGAACAAGATAAAGCAAAGGTGGCTTGAGGAGGGAAAACTAGAATTTTGATTGAAGTCTCACGATGATCCACAGTTTAAACTGTAAGTTATTATGTTCTTTTGCAGGGGATCCATGGACACCCCTTTTTTCCTCTCCTGGTGTGATCCACTCACTGAAAGTTATCCGTGATCCCTTCATTCCAGTGCACATAACCTACTTTTTTTTTTTTTCTTTTTACGGTACGCGGCCTCTCACTGTTGTGGCCTCTCCCGTTGCAGAGCACAGGCTCCAGACGCGCAGGCCCAGCGGCCATGGCTCATGGGTCCAGCTGCTCCGTGGCATGTGGGATCTTCCCGGACTGGGGCACGAACCCGTGCCCCCTGTATCGGCAGGCAGACTCCCGACCACTGCGCCACCAGGGAAGCCCCACATAACCTACTTTTTACCAACGGTTTCTACTTTGTGTGAATAGAAAATTCACACCGTGGTGGGCAGGGGCTGGGAAGCAACTGAGAAAACACACTTCCCTGCATTGCAAACTGAAGCAGAATCATCTAGATGACTCTTCCCAGGAGACGACACCTTCCTAGGAGAAACTGATGAGGTGGGCTGTTCGAAGGGCACGTGACGCTGGCATCCCTTTGCCAACAGTCAGTTAGTCAACAACCTGGACAGAGCTGCCTGCCTGGAGGTGAACCTCCCAGAAGGGATGCTGAAGGGAAGAGAGGTGGGACAGAAGACAGCACCCCTGCTGTTCTCATGGTATTCACGATTTAAATGAGAAAATATGGCTTTCCTTCCAGAAAAGGACATTGAATCACAATTCAAAATGTGTCCATGCATCTAAGGGCCAAAGACACCCAGGAAGACTGGACTCTCCCAAGACAGATGCTGTGTGGGACAGCCAAGTCTGGAGATAGGTTAGAAGAAAGGCTGTGCCTGAGTGTTGGGGAACACACAAATCAGCCATTAACATGGGGATGATCAGGGGTTGTGATGGCACAGGAAGCCAGAGTAAGTTAGAGAGCAGAGGAATAGCGGGGTTAGCACCACACTGACTGCATTCTGTGGAGGAAGCTGAATAGGGGAAAGGGAGCAGGAGAATGGGATGAGATAGTACCCATCATCACCATCACCACCATCGTCACCAACCATCATCATCATCATCACCATCACCACCATCATTACCATCATCACCATCCCATCATCATCATCACCACCCCATCATCATCATCACCACCCCATCACCATCATCACCACCATCACCACCATCACCACCATCATCACCAACCATCATCACCATCATCATCATCACCGCCATCACCATCATCATCACCATCATCATCATCACCACCATCACCACCATCATCACCATCATCATCATCATCACCGCCATCACCATCATCATCATCACCACCATCACCACCATCATCACCACCATCATAACCATCATCATCATCGTCATCATGTAGCAGTGCCTATGCCTATTACATGCCAGACATTGTGCTGAGATCTTTACAGGTATTAACGTCTCATTTAATCCTTGTCATAAGCCATGAGAAAAGCACTCTTACTTACTCCATTTTAAAGATGTAGAAACTGAGGCTATGAGAGCTGCCCCAGTCACATGATTAGAAAGTGACAGACCTGGGGTTCCAACCCAGTTCCTCTTAACCCCTATGATGAACTCCACTGTTGGAATAAGGTCACTGGGGCCCAGACAAAGAACAGAGCAGGCAGCAATGGATAGGAAACGACCGTAGGAAGTGGGGGAGGTGCTCCCCCGTGGTGCGCTGGCACTCTCACATGTATCCGAACAGGCCACACAGGCAAAGGCTAATCTGGGTCTCGACAGAACACCTTGAGATGCCCTTGGGACACCAGTGGGTGGGAGGCCTCTAAGAAGTGGCTATGAGGTCACCTCCCACTTTCCCCTATGCCCCGGGAGCAGAGGAGAAACTTCCGGGAAGCTGTCAGGAGACAGTTTCTCCTCTGTTCCCTGGGGTCTGACAGGACAGATGGAGCCTTGTGCCCCGGCCTCCGCAGACTAGGTCTGCAGAATATAAACCTACTTAGCAGCAACAGGGTATCCACAGCAGCAGTATAGCCATCAGCCCCTGCTTTGGTGCCACCAATTCTGGCGTGTGGGCTAGGACCAGGGAGCTGGCGCCCCTGGCCATCTATGTCAGTAATGAGCTGAATGTGACAGCAGCTTGCTGTGTCTGTGCCCGCCCAGTCGGTCGGGCACTGGCCTTGGCTTGGCTTGTATGTGTGGTGAAGCAAACAAGCTTCAGGATGCGCTCTGTGCGGGATTGGAAGCAAAGCGAAAGGGAGGGCAATGCAGGTGCTGCGGTGCTGCCGGGGCTCGGTGGAGGTGGGGAGCAGCGTTGGATTCTAAGGCTGCCCCAGGGGCCCGCCTGGGGACCTGGGCAGGAGTGCGTGGCTGGGAATTCTGGAGGCTCTGCACCATCTGCAAACACAGCCAGCCCGTCCTGCTCTGTGCAGGAGCCTGTCCCAGCCCGGGATGGAGCAAAAGCCTTCAGACAGACTGCTGTGGCCCACGCACAGGCACCCAAGCAGCCGTGGGGCTCTGAAACGGATAGATCGGTGGCTTTCTTTGAAAAATTACTTTATATTTTGAAAACAATTATACATGAATTATTCATTGTAAATTCCTCCTGCTCAGTCCTTTCATAAAAACATATGTAATAAATAGTAAGAAAATGTCTGTAGGCAAATGTTTCACAGCCTGGAGGGAGCGCTGAGAAGCACGGGGGAGGCTGGGCATGCCTTAGGCAGCCTGTCCGGAGGTTGCAGGCGTGCCATCCCCTGTGCACACAGAGCACCACCAAGGATACAATGCCCAGGAGCGCAGTCCCCAGACAGGCACTAAAGCACGTCACATACATCAGTGTGCCCCCTGCCCCCACCTCGCACCACTCATTCCTAGGATGAAAAGGGCAGCGAATCAACTACACTTATCACAACCTTGGAGGCAATTTACAATACAATGTAAGGCGAAAATGCAACATTTATAAAACAGATTTTCAAGTGTTTAACCATTCAAGTTTTGTCCTTTGGTCTTTTCTAGGAGGCATTTCCCTAAGAAAGTTCCTCAAAGAATAACAAACTGTGACCTGGCATATTCTGATTCACCAAATTGTCACTTCCACCATTCCCGGGACATCACTTAGATCGTAGACTGATTCCCACACCATTTCACGGAGTGGTTGCTGGACTCTCTCGGTGAAGGCAGGTGCTCCCCGGTAGGTGCCCAGTAACTGGAAGTTGAGTGAGTGATTCAGTCTTTCCAAGTCCAGCTCCTGCAAAGCATCTCGTGCTTTGGGGATAATATCCACCAGTCTCTATGTGAGTAATACTTGTTTGCTATGCCTCTGACATCATTTTTGTGGTGGTTTATCTAGGGAGTATAACACACACCCTTAACTTTTAACAGTCTATTTAGTAATATTGAACCACGTCACCTGAAATGTAGGAACCTTGCAACCATGTAGATTCGTAGCCTGCCCCTGTCCTTTAAGCTGTAATTGTAGGTTTTTGGACATCTACATGTATTCTAAACCCCACAAGACAATGTTAAAATGGTCGCTTTAAGTACTCACATGCACTTTTTAAAATTAATTAATTAATTAATTTTTGGCTGCGTTGGGTCTTCGTTGCTGCACGCGGGCTCCCTCTAGTTGTGGTGAGCGGGGGCTACTCTTCGTTGCAGTGCACGGGCTTCTCATTGCAGTGGCTTCTCTTGTTGCAGAGTACGGGCTCTAGGCGCGCGGGTTTCAGTAGTTGCAGCACACGGGCTCAGTAGTTGTGACTCGCAGGTTCTAGAGCACAGGCTCAGTAGTTGGGGCACACGGACTTAGTTGCTCCACGGCATGTGGGATCTTCCCGGACCAGGGCTCGAACCCGTGTCCCCTGCATTGGCAGGTGGACTCAACCACTGCACCACGAGTGAAGCCCTCAAATGCATTTTAATTAAGAAGAAAATAACCTTTTATATCTAACTGGACATTTACCATTTCCAATGTTCTTTATTCTTTCAGGATCAGCTGAGTCTCCATCTAGTATCAAATTCCTTCCCTTCCTTTAGCATATCTTATAGTGAAGATCTGTTCGCAAGGACTTATCTATGTTTTTTTTTAATCTGAAAACATCTTTATTTCACCTTTATTCTTAAAGGAGACTTTTGCTGGATGTGAGGGGTTTTTGTTTGTTTTTGTTTCTGCTTTCCTTTCAGGATGGTAAAGTTTCTGTTTCACTGTCCTCTGGCCTCCATAGTCTCTGATAAGGTGATGGTAATTCAAATAATTGTTCCCCTTTTAATGTGTCATTTTTCACATGCTGCTTTAAGATTTCTCTCTTTGATTTTGGTTTTCAGTTTATCTATGATTTTTCTTTGTATTTATCCAACTGTGGGTTTTCTGAGTTTCTCAAATTTATACATGTAAAGGTTTCACCAAAAATTGGGAAATTTCAGCCATTATTTCTTCACATATGTCTTCTTCCCTGGTCTTCCTTTCCTTCTGTGACTCCAGTTATACCTATGCTAGACCTTTGATGTTGTTCCACATGTCCCTGAGGCAACTGTTCTAT